TACAGGGGTCACGCTTCATTCAGGGGATGAGGCGGAGGTCAGCTGGGGCTGGGAGCTGCCGAGGTGCTCCAACCCCGGAGCACCCAGGGAGTCGGCTGCTCCCCCTGCTTCCCCCCAGCTACGCTACTGCCTACAGGTTTGCCACCGTTCCTTATGCATTACAGTGTTCAACACACAGTGTGGTGATACAGCCTGTGCAACCTGCAGCAGAGCACTTCCCCACCTTGTTCATAGCACAGTAATACAGTTGTGTTACTGACCTGGACCCAGACCCTCTACTGCTAAGTGCCCTACAGAAAGATCCTGCCCCCAGGAGGTGACAGTTTAACTATAAAGAGACAACAGACGCATCTAAACAGACTGTGCAACACCCAGGGCCGGCTTTAGGCCGATTCCCCCGAATCGGGCCCCGGGCCTAAGAGGGGCCGCCCCCCGGGCCAGCGCTCCAGGGCCCCGCCCCCCGGGCCGTAGCTCCAAAGCCCCGCGGCCCCGCCCCCCGGGCCGGGGCTCCGGCCGGAGCGGGGCAAGCCCCGTGCCCCGGGGGATGGGGTTCGGGGCCCTGTGCTGATCCCCGGCCCGGGGGGGTCTGTGGGAAGGAGGCCCCGTGCTCCAAAGGGGGCGGCCAGTCCAGCTACCGCCCTGGGGCGCAGCCCGGGCCTCTCACACTCACCCGCCGCAGCCGGCTCCCTCGCTCCTGCTTGGCTCTCCGTCCGTGGCCTGCACCGAGATCTCACGAGAACTCGCGCCCAGCTCCCGCGAGACCAGCCCCTCCCCTTACCGTAATGCTGGGATTATACTTGTATCCTAGCTGTAGCGCCTCCGTTCTCCTCTTACCGTAATGCTGGGAGCACGCGTGAAATTCCTATTTCCCCAGCGCGGTAGAGTAAACCCGTGAATGTCAGAGCAACGTTGTATATGGGAGACCTGCCACTTTCTTCCGGAGTGGAAGGATGATTTTGTGATTCAGACCCAGGACTGGGGTTCGGGAGACCTGAGGTTCCAGTCTCAGGTTTGCTGTATGACATTGCTCGCTCTGTGCTTCAGTGTGATATTTCCTCTAGCCTATCCTTGGGTAGTTTAGATTGTATCAGCTTTTTCCCGTAGGGACTGTCTCCCATTCTGTGTACATACAGTGCCTAGCACCCTAGGACCTGGACTTCTTTTAGGGCCTCTCAGCTCTAGTGCAATACAAATGTTTAACAACAATAGTTATTCTAATAGGGGACACACACACACCCCTTCCAGAAAGGGCAGGAGGCCCCACTGCAAGTGACCATCCCTCCTCCAACTGGGCAGGAGGCACCATGCTACAGGAGTTGTGCTGCCAGCATGCCACAGGGAGAGCGAGTAACCCACCTGGTGCACCCAGATCTTCACAACTCTTGACCACAGTGACAACAATGCCTGCATTCCCTCCTTTGGACCGTGCAGTTCTGCTATCAGATTGGACCAGGACACCTGCAGAGAACCTTCCCCTGCCACTTCTTCACAGACAGAAGCATCAGGAGGGACTACGAAGATCATATACCCCACAGGCCCCGCCTCTGGCCAGCCAGACCTGATCACATTGTGTCCTCTACTGAGCACGTTTTTTGCTTCCTTCCCAGAAGAGATGAAGAGCTTAGAAAATGAGCAAAATAAATTATTGGACTAAAAACATTAGTAGCAATATAACTGCGCATGCATTGGATTTGGAATCACATCAGTGACCAGCATTAGTACTGTCAGGAGTAGAAGAGTATCAGAGGGGTAGCCGTGTTAGTCTGAATCTGTAAAAAGCAACAGAGGGACTTGTGGCACCTTTAAGACTAACAGAAGTATTGGAGCATAAGCTTTCGTGGGTGAATGCCCACTTCATCAGACGCAAGGATAGAAGGAGTAGAAGAATATGCCCAAAGTGCACTATTGGCACTGGAAGAGGAAGAGGCCTGAGGGGAATGAAGAGCTGTGTCCTTTTTTAAGATCCTGTTGCTGTCCATCTGCAAGTAGATAAAGAATTCATGAATTCTCACTCCCACTTTCCTTCCTTCCTCACTCTTTTTTGGTAAGCAATTGCACCTTTGCCCCCTCTGCCTAGAAATGATGGGTACAAGGCTGAGAAACTCAGCAATTCACACCCCAGTCTCCTCTCTCCAGCAGTAACACTAAGGATGCCCACTGTTAGCTTCAGCCATTCATGCCCTTATCCCACTCTCGAGGGAGGGTGCAGTTTAATCAAACCAAGTGTTTAAACAGAAATCTAAAATAAATCACAGTAACTAAAATGTGAACTTTGTAAACCTCTTTACACCGCCTTACTGGGATTCCCAGCTATGCTTCCACTACGCGCACAAGTGACTCTGACCAGCTCTTTTCTAAGGCTGCATGAGAGAGCCTCCAGCACTTTGCTTTCTATGACTTTGGGGCTCAGCAGGCTAGAGCTGTAATTGCAGGGAAAATCCTGCTCAGCACAGGGCTGGAGCATCTACAGTACAGCATGTTTCTAGCATAGACATATCCTAAACTAGTGGTAGAGATGGGGACAGACCCCCTCTTCCCGTATGCCCAGCCCTCTACAATACCCCATAGAGTAGCTCAATGTAAGAGCTTTAGCCACTTCTACAATAGATCAGCTATCTCCTGGGTTCTCACAACACATTTTAGGTGGCCTCACAGTGTGGCCACCAACTCTTTCTGGTGGTCGCTCTGATAGTTTTTCCTAAAATTAACTTTAGGAAAAACAAATAAATATGCACATATACGCATTGGCGCCGAAAAATTAGCAGATGATTAGCACCAACCGGCACCAAGCTCCCCCACAGCACCTCCTGCCCGCTTGCAGGCAGCCCCACTGATCAACTCCTCCCCCTCCCTCCCAGCACCTCCCGGCCCGCCACAATCAGCTGTTCCACGGTGTGCTGGGAGGGAGGGGGAGGAGTTGATCAGTGGGGCTGCCTGCAAG